AGATAACTACATTCTGATTAGTTTTGCTGGTATGTAAGAATTCTTTTTTGCTGTTTGTACATGAGACCAGAGCTGCTCATCTCTTTGCCAACAGCTGTAATATTACCTGGAAATTACCTTTGTTTGAGGAATCACCTGTGGTATCATCTCTTTGTCCTCGGAGAGGATTTTTTGTTTCCCACAAAGAATGATCGTATCTACTATTTTCTCAAGCAACTATATTTTGTGCTGATTCTGTGCCTGATTTTGCTGATTGAGTTTGTATGGAAGAGACGAAGATGGCACTTCGGATGTGGTTTTGTAATAAACGGATTTGGCACTCTTGTGGTGCTCTAAATTTTGATGCTCTAAAAGAGCAGATGTTTTTCCAAGTGCTTTCCTATACGCGCTGTAAAAGGTTGCGTAACAAACGTATTGTTCTGATGTTGGACATTTGACTGAAGGAACATAACACAAAACTTGCTTAGACCGCCATTTAACAGTTTACTGAAGGTCAACCATGGAAACTTATTCATCCAAGAAGATTGAAATGATAAAAGCCTTTTGAGTTCACCCGTATTCGTTGTTTGGGCACGAAGAGTTGATTCTGATTATATTTATCTTGTCAACTGAGGACATGTTCAACTGTATTGTACCTGTTTCAATTTTACCATAAACAGAAAAATCAAAATCGTCAAAAGATGTTTTATCTATATTATGTTCTGTTGTCTTAAATTCATTGTTAGCAAATTCATCATGATCCATTTTTTTCATTTTTTGAGTCCGTGGTGATTTCCGAGATATCATCTAAATCAAAGTTTTGATTTTTTTAGGGGCATGTTCCTTCAATTCACTAGATTCAGTAGGTAAAACTGGAAAGAACAATATTCCCCATTCGAATGAATGTAGAGTTTCATTTAGAATCGACTTGAGAAAAGTTCTTCCCTGGTACTAATGATCTGTCCGATACTGAGGTCTCCAAAACACATTGTACACTTGTGGGATGAGCACATCTTGTCGTAGGTTGCCAGTGACGCATACTTTCTTGATTTATTTTTACAAGTTCTAATAATTATGACACTAAAATTTCTCTTCAGAAATTATCCCAGTGACATAGATTAGTAGAAAAGAAATATAAAATTGCATACTAAATGGGCTTTTTTTATTTCAAATAACTTAATATTCTTGAAATAAGCGATTTCATGATTAAATATTTAAGCTTGGGTAGTGTACGAAAACTAAATTCGTGGGTCATGAAATTATAAATGCATTTTGAACCTTTGCAGCATATGAACTTTCAGATTGTATTTTGGGCTTTTTTTTGATAAAGATTGGGTTTTCTCTTAATGTAGCTAAAAAGCTGTAAAAGGTGTTTTGTCTGATTTTATGCAGTAGATCTTGAACAGTTACAGTACCGACCGTACACAACCGAACACCAGAGCGAACCGAAGCGGACCCCGGGTTCGCTCGGGGTCCGCTTCGGGTTCGCTTTCAGAAATTTTGGGACCGCTCTGGTGCACTTTGGGTGCGCTCCGGGTTTGCTCCGTGTTCGCTCGGGGTCAGCTCTGGGTCCGCTAGAGCGAACCCGGCGTTCGCTTTCTGGGATCACTTTACGCACTGATGCGTGAAGCGGACCCCGCTTTAATCTCGCCACCATGGGCCAACATTTGTTAAAGGTTGTATGGTTGGCGTTGGGGAATAACGTTGGGCCATTGTTGGACCAATGTTACCAAGTCAACCTTCTCGACCATGACGGAATTCCTATGTTGGCCCAATGTTGGTACAACGTAAGCAACTTCCCTTCACATTAGTTTCCGAGGAAGAAAGGATCCTGGTGTTGGCCCATCGTTGGACCAATGTTTATAATACACCCTTAAAGAAAGTGTATTTACTAGTTGGTAGTTAGTATGTTGGCCCAACGTTGGCCCATTGTTAGTAATACACCATTAAAGAAAGTGTCTTATCAAGTTTTTAGTAGTATGTTGGCCCAACGTTGGCACAATGTTTGTAATACATCCTTAAAGAAAGTGCCTTATCAAGTTGGAAGTAGAATGTTTCCCAAGGTTGGCCCGATGTTTCTAATACACCCTTAAACGAAAATGTCTTATTAAGTTGGTAGTATTATGCTGGCCCAACGTTGGCCCATTATTTGTAATACACTCTTAAAGAAAGTGCCTTATCAAGTTGGTAGTAGTATGTTGGCCCAACGTTGGCACAATGTTTGTAATACACACAAGTGTTATTTTGTTTAGGTGTTTCAAAGAGTGGGATATTTATACTGGGCCAACGTAGGGCCAATTATTATACTGCCAACTAATTGATGGTGTCAATTTTATAATTAGCTGCTGAGCTTTACGTTGAGACAACGTTGGTACATTCTGAAATAATTAAGAGGACTTTCTATGTCCATGCTTATCACTGGATGACTGCTTTTGTTTAGATATGATATTTTCAACATTTTAATTTTGCACTTAAGTGATCACAACACCAAAGAGTGTTTTATTCTATTTTTTGAATATTTATTTGTAATAACCCAGATAGCAGAACATCGTTGGCCAAATCTTACATTATGGTTCTATTATCTATGTTGGGTTACCTTGATTGGGCCAACAATGGCCCAACATGGAATATTGATAGCTGGTTATGTATAATGGTGCGCTAATGTTGGGCTAACTATTGGCATTAGGCCTATATCATAAAACTATTATCATGAGAGAAAATATTTGTTTGGGGATTGGCATCGGCCCTACGTTGGCCCAATATACCATGAATTTGACTGAGCATCATGGGTAGACAACAACTGGGCTACTTGTAATATCCGCGCCATTTTTAATCTGACACGAGCGAGCGTAATGAGACTGATACCTTGCATATCTGCATCCACTTTGTAAGTATTAATAATACGTTTGCCTCGGCATAACTGAATTAATGTTTAGTTTTTAAACGATATCATTTACATATCTGTGTAAATCAGACATGGGGAAGTGCAGAGGCCAGGTGCTGTTGGGTCAACACTGCACCCAAGATAGCATGCTAACATTGGGCCAACGTTGGGCTAATGAAATCAGTTACATCGGGCCAATGTTGACAAATGACATTGACCCAATTTACTTTGCTCATCGGCCCGATGTTGACCCGATATGTTGGACCAACGTTGGCCCAATGTAGAGTGTTATTTCTAGAGATATTGGGCCAACATTGGCCCAATGAATGCGACATTGTTGGCGAAACGTCAACAAGAACATTAGGCCGATGTTGGCAAATGACGTTGGCCCAGTGTCATTTTGCTCCTTGGCCCAATGTTGGCCCGATATATTGGACCAACATTGGGCCAATGTGTATAAACATTTAATTGTTACAAATATGTATATTAACAGATCTGATCGTCTCTACAATCAGAAATAAATCTACGACTATTCCTACTTGAAAATACAAGCTAGGTAAAATAAATTTAAAATTCTTATAATTTATCAAATCAAAATAAATTATCAGTGATTAAATTTATTGTTTCTATACAAGAAAAATAAATGAAAGTATAAAATAACAAATGTGTTTTGATACAGTTAAAACAATAAATAATTTGCCCCTTATTTAGATTGAAATTTGTGTCTAGTAGAATACATTTCCGAAGTCTACCACTTAATTTACTTATATACACTTAAACGTCGAGTACATGATCAAACATTTTGAAAATGTTGAACATGTTGAAGTTAAAACAAAATTTATTCAGTACTAAACATAAATTGGGTTCTTTCATTTAAAATTTGTTCAGTGTAACGACAAATTTTCAATACATTTTTTTATATGGGGCAACATTGGATCAAACGTTGTGATGATGATGATCAAGCGTAGAAATGTTATGCATAAATGCCTTCATCACGCAAGCTAATCACTTAATCACACCAAGAAACAAATCAAAGTACCCAGACCAAGAAACAAAAAAAGACAGTTATTCCTAATTGACAGCTTAAACATATAGTGATATACTTGTAAATTTAATCGTATGTTTTACTCTTTACTGAGAAAAGTAACAAATGTATTAAGTACCAAATACTACAATTTTAGTGCTACTGGAGATTCTAAAAAGACATTGAGAACACAATCAAAGAATAGCTAAGGTATGCCAAGGACAGGGATGGGGGAGGAAGAAACGGACAGAGAAGAAAAGAAAAGAAGGGAGAGGAGGAGACTTGGGAGAGAGAAGAGGAGACTTAGTAGAGGGACCAGATGGAAAGTGACAGTGCCTAACTTTTTTCTGTAATATAGTGTGACATACCTGTAGTTCTACCCTTTTCCGTGTCTGTTTGTCGGTTACAAACACGATGCAGATGCCAGAAACATTTTTTTGTGTAAGTAAACAAAATGACGGGATTCATTTTAGTATTATTTTAAGAACAGGAGGGCTTTGTTTATTTGTTAGACGTGCTTATTGATACCTGTAATTTACTGAACTTGTGCATAAATTTACATCAGAGAGGGAGTATACAGTCATGTAACCCTACATGTATCGCTTGAAGTGAGCATCAACTAGTTCTTTATTAATGTTTTCTTCATGCACTGAGCAATAAAATTATAGTATGTCATAATTTAATTTTATATTTTGATTTCCTTTTCCTCAGTTTTTTAATAAATGTAGAGCTACTTACAATGCAATACTTGTTGATGGCAATTTTATGAGATATTGAGAATATGTATCAAACTATTAATCTAGCATATATAGCATATATAGATAGTATTAAAGGGCTTTTACCATTAAACTGTACTACAAAACTATTATAACCTTATTGTATATATTTGTTTGTCAATTTTGAGGACAAGTGGCCAACCAGTGAAGAGCAAATGAGTTGTCATGATGGAGAGCCAATAAGATACAAACCAACGTTGGCCCAAACATGATGTTTTCCTAATATTGAAAGAATAAGTGGCCCAACAATGGCTCAATGATATCCGTTCGTTGGTCCAACAATAAGCCAACAAGTTGGTCTGATTAAGGGCCGATGAGCAAATTACCGTTGGCCCAACATTAATTGCTTACAATGGCCCAACTGTACAAAAATGACGTTTGCCCAACATTGAAAAAATACATTGGCCCAACATTGGCCCAATATTAACTGTTACATTGGCCCAACAATAAGCCAACACGTTGGTTTGATTAAGGGCCGATGAGCAAATTACCGTTGGCCCAACATTAATTGCTTACAATGGCCCAATTGTACAAAAATGACGTTTGCCCAATATTGAAATAATACATTGGCCCAACATTGGCCCAATATTAACTGTTACATTGGCCCAACAATAAGCCAACAAGTTGGTTTGATTAAGGGCCGATGAGCAAATTACCGATGGCCCAATGTTGAATGCAAACGGTGGCCCAACATAAGGAGCACTGTTGGCCCAACAAAGGTCCAATAACATCCTGCTATCTTTAGTTTTACCGTGAAAGCAAAAACAGAACAGGAAGAAAATGGTGTTGAATTATATTAAATGTATCGAATGGTGTACAAGTGAAACTGAAGTTAGCATCTAAACAAAATACCTTTCGAATTCATGCGTTATACATGTATACTTTAAAATCATATTTGTTATTCCTTAAGTTTCGAAAAATCGGAGTTTAAATCTTTGCCAAACACGTGAATTATGATATCGCATCTATAAATTACATTAAACTTTTGTACACGTGATATATCTAGATTTCATTCATAGAAGTTACACATTAAAAGTTCGTAATAAATATTTACAGGACTTTTTCAAAAAAAAAAAAAAAAAAAAATATCAGATCTTTTTCACGCTCAGAATTATGGAGAGAGCATGATTTTAATCAGAATGAGAAAAATAAATAAAATGACAAATAATAATTGTTCTCCCGGCTCGCTAAGAATATAATAATATACCCCCCTACTTCACCCACACACATTAATAGAATTA